TTGCATTCTTGCCCCACCACATTCTTTGGGATCAAAGTACAAATCGTTCTCTTCAGCCCGGGCAAACACAGTCATTTTGTTTACAGTATTTCCAATCACACCTGGGAGATGGTCCTACACCCCTCCTATACTCCCTTAAGCAGTAGAATGATTAACTGCATACAGCAGCAAGACAAATAAATATCCAACTGGAAATACCATTGTGAGAACTAAACCTACGGATCCTCCTGAGTTACAAAAGCATTCAGCCACCACGTGGAGCTATCAAATCTCCATCAATACTTGAGATACTAAAGGAGTGCAAAGGAAATAGAGACCCCATCTCTAAAATACGGATACAAAATGGTCACTCTTTAAAAAGGACAGCTGTGATATCACGTCTTAAGTGCTTCCACTGCACCCGTCATTCCTACGTTGGGTGGGAAGGTGGAAGATAAGGAACTATTTCTTTCTAGGGCTTTACAGACATTTCACTTCTGCTGTCGCAGGATTATGATAAAGCTCAGGGAGGTGTAATTAAGCTTCTGGGATGGCAAAGGGGACGGTAGGTGGAGTCCTACGGCTGTTCAGTGCAGAAGAATAGAGTGTCACTGAGGCCAAAGAGCACTAGTGCCCAACCCCAGTGGGGAGTGACAGATTGCCATGTCTGTCGTTCTGTTTGCCTTGCTGAGCCCTATGGGGAAGCTCTATTGACTTCTGAGGTTACGCAAAGGGACTGCAGGATTTCATCTGTGAAGATATCAGCACAGATCTCTGAGGGCATCAGCATTCACCGCAGAGGAGCCTGTCCCTCACCACCATCGGCCCCTTTCTGCAGTGGCCTGTTGGGGTCCAACATGCTGAAACTCAGCTCTGGCATGGCGGGACGTCCCTGATCAGGTGCATCAGCCATCTGACAGCTTCTCCCGCTCGGATTGGCACCCGCAGCCCGATGCAGGGTGAGGCATCTCTTCTGCTGTGTCTGTGCAAGTCTGAGTGCAGCTGCGGTGTGGAAGGGAAGGATCCAGGCAGCAGAGGGCAGGAGGTTTATTACATAAGCAAAAGTCATCAGGGAATCGAGATATCCCCGCAAACACTCTGACGTCACACCCTGTTTCCCAAATTCAGCACGTCCCCGTGCAGGGTGGGAAGTGAGTAACCGCAGCACCATCACCTGTGTGGGACAACATGGGGGTGACTCATGGTGCAGCACTGAGAGCACACTGCAGCTGCTCCTCACCTTGTTCCCCCTGGCACCTCTCTCGTCCTGCAGTGGTCCCTCTTCTCTGCTACACGGGGACTGTGGCTGCCTCTAGGCTTGCGACAGCAGCCACAAGCCTCGGTTGATCCCTTTCATCTTCTCCAGCAGCATGCCCCCCCTGGCAGCAGGCTGAAACCTGGAGCAGCTCAGCCAGACTTTCCATGCAAATTTCTGTAGGAGGACACAGACATTTGGGACAGCCACAGACTTCATGGCACGGCATCGTGGATCACTAGTGATCCTCAAACCACAGTTTATCCATTGATCCCAGTCACTTACCCCTTCAGAATTAAGGGGTGGAACAGAGGACCTGACGTTATGTGCAGGGAATGGTTGCTATTCCTGCTATTCGAGAGTGGCCATGAGTGCCTGAATCACACAGCCCCGAGCTGCTGATCAGCAATGGTCACATGAGGTGTGGGCTATCAGGAAAATTACCACGTTGCCTGTGTGCCTTGTAATGATTATCTAATCGTGGCGCTTTCCTGGTGACTACAGGAAGTGAAGGACGGTGCTAAGGTAGGTGCCAGGTGGATCCAGTGTTTGAGTGTTTGAGTGAGATAAACTATGGGGCAGCTGGTTCCAGAGCGGGGCAACTCGAGAAGGGCACTGCTTATAGAACTCTGATGGTGTTTCCTATTCCAGCTCCTGTTTAAAGGCTTCTCCCTGTGCTCTGCCACGCTAAGGTGCATGGCTTCCGCCCGGAGATGCTTCCGATGCATTACTCAGTGCCTTCCGGGCTCCTGTGCACCAGAAAGCTTCCCCTGCAGATAACATCCCTGATAACCACAGTTGCTGGAAGGCTTAGTTACATCCCTAAAGCGTCTCGAGACAGCTTGATAGAAGCGGTTACAGAAGGACAAAATATAATCACATCAGAACTATCCCACGGTGAGGTCCTGTCTCACTTATCTGATGATTCACCAAGCTTGTTCCCGACGGGATGGATGACATGCTTTGGAATTCCAATAGCCACAGGTACAACCTGCTGCTGCTGAGGCTCCATCGAATGCCTGGCCAGGCAGCTGGCTACACGTGGAGCCAGGGAAACAGTGCTTCTTCAAGCTGTTTACCACTCGGCAGCAAAAATTGTAGGAACACTGTAGGATCACAGAGCGAACCTCACAGGGATGGGTTTCCAGGCAGGAATAATGCTGCACACCTTGGAGCTGTGTCCTGCAAGGTTAAGTCCAACAATTTCTCAGCCATAATTATTGAGTGGCTTTGATTTATCTGAAGCACCGATAACAAGCCGAGGAAACCAGCTGAAGCCACGCTCAGCAGCCTCTTTTCACCAATCTATGCTATGATTGCTTCTTTTTGCAGCAAGGAGCCCAGCTTGCAAGTCTCTCGAAGGCCACATCCCCATCTAGCTGGCTTCTTACATCCCCTGGAAAGAGCACACCCTCAGCACTTCACCTGGGATGAGGAGGGCTGGTGAATGGAGGAGAGCCAACAACAGAAAGCTGCAGCGTTTCAATCAGTGCTATTGGGGTGCTGCATGGGTAGGCTTCTGGCTGTGGCCACGGTGATGCTATGTGACAAGGCACACATGGTGTGTCTCAGCCCAGGGAGGGGCTGCAGGGCTGGATTGCTGCATGTCACGCACACAGAGGGTGATGGGAAAGCAAAGGCAGAGAAAATGAGGCTGTGACACAGTCAGAAGGATAAAGGGCTTAAAGCGGGCTTGGGGCTGCCTTGAGAGCATGAAAGAGCACTGATCTCCCCCCTGATGATCAAAGAGGGAATTGCTGTAGCTGCACTGAGTGCATAAGGAGAGATCTTGGCTATATCCAACCCAGAGGGCTGAATGCAAAGCACCTCTGTGCGTACAGCAGGCCTGAACATCACTAACCTCGAGCCCAGTGCACCGAAATGCCTGTGCAGGTGACTCAGTGGGCAAGACCTCCATGAGCCTGACACAGCCCTGCTGCTGCATCCTGCCAGGCAGCCACACGCCGTGCTGCCAGCACAGCAGCAATACAAACAGAGGGGCACCACGAGGGGCTGCGACCCTCCTGCCGTGCAGACCCCCTTGCAGATCTGGGAAAGCCCCATCTTAACCCGCTCTCTATTTCTCCACCATTTTTTAAGGGACTCCCTAAATACCTCCCCGAAAAAATCCAGTCTCACTTTTTTTTTTTTTTTAAGGAATTGAGCCAAGCAAATAATTATTTGCAACGAATGAGAACTAAACCAAACCGTGAAGGTTTTCCCATCCCTCCTTTCCCCATCTGTTTCCTTATCTGCATGCGAATTTAAAGTTGTTGGCTTGTTTCTCCGAGCCACAAATCAGTGCCCTTTGAACCACAAAGGCTCTGCACTCTGAACAGCATTTCTCTGGGTTAATTACTGCCAAAAGCTGCAAAGAATGAAATTCCTCCTCTTGCATCCCATGCAGTATTATTTCAAAAATCTCTACAGGAAGCAGAGCTATACAGTGCACTGAAAACAAGGTGGCATTGCAAAGAATTATTTTAAAAGGTCCAATCTGGGCAAAAAAACTATCAGGACTAACTGGAAAAGGAAGGTGTTCCCCCTTGCAGGGGAGATGACCAAAGCAACACCTCCCACCCGCCCTCGGCGTGCCGTCACCACTTATCAGGGCTTCCCAAGAGCAGGCTGCAGTGGAAGAGTGCTGGGAGCCAATGGGTGACGCATGGCTGTGGGCAGGACGGGCGGAGCAGGGAACTCACCTGCAGCCAGGAAGGTATAAGAGGCTGCGGCGTGCGGCCGCGCGGCCACTGATGCGGAGCTGCTCAAAGCCAAAGGGAGCCAACGCAACAGGAGAAGGCTGGGAGATACAGAGCCCAGCTGGAGAGAAGACTCGTTGGGGTAGCAAGCAAGAGCCCAGAACATGCTTTTCTCCTTCTACGCTGCTCTCTGAACAGGTATTTATAGCGTTTGACCTGCTGCTCACCTCCTTGATGCCTGCTGCAAGGCACAGCTACGTTGGGAACGGTGTAGTAGGGCTGGCACTGAGCTGTAGGGACTCTCAAGTCTGGTTTTATGGGGTGGGAGGAAGCTTTCTAGAAGTCGTCGGGAAGCATAAAGTACTTGGTGGATTTGAGGGAAGCAAAAAGCACTTATCTTGGTAGATTTGAGGCTGGGTGGATGGCTGCCAGTGGGACGGCTGAGCTCAGCTATGGAACGGTTTAGTTGTGGTGCTCCAAAGTTCTGGTTGGCAGCGGTGGAAACAGCTGCAAGGGCTGAGGAAGAGCGCTGTGACCGCAGAGGTCTGAATTGTTTGTGTTAAAATGACCACACGTAGTGAGAGAAATTTGCTACCAAAACAAAAGCGAGGTTGGGCAGTGCAGCGGTGGCATCCAGGAGAAACTGGGTGCTGGCTTCCCCACAAAGCAAACCCAGCAAGCATCACCATCACCTCGAGCAAAGGGAAGATGGGGGCACAGAAGCTCGTATGGTCATCTAGAAGTACCCATTGCAAGCAAACTTCCTCAAGTTTACTCTCAAGACACTGCTGCTCTGCTATGGCTGCGTTAGAGAAAAGTACCAAGCAGCATCTGCCAGCCTCAGTCAGTCTGTCATTCTGTGATCTTTTTCAGATAGGTTATGGAACAGATATTTGTGGAAGTGTGGGGGAGGGGATCTGCAAAACAGAGGATTTGGTAAAAGCAAAAAGAGAAAAAAAAAAAAAAAAAAAAAAAGCAAAAAAAAAAAAAAAGCACCAAAAAGAAAACAACAGAGCGAGGGCTTTCCTGTCTTTGTGCCAGCCGGGTTTGGATTTGTAGTTCTGCAATTCATCAGCATCTGCCAGATAGTGCTAAAATATGCAGGCTGAGCTGCAGCCAGGGAAAGACAGACAACAAATATTACAACTTGCTGAAAAGCTCAGATAAAAAACGCAGACTGAAGATTAACTTGCGGAGAGGCTCCGGTGAGCACCAGAGAAGCAATAGAGGAAGTATTTAAGCCAACACTTTGCATCGAAGGCAAAGTTTCCTCCCGTAGGTGCAGCCTGGCAACTTAAGATTGCTTTTGGTTATGGCCATCAAAAGCTAACCGTGATGGGAGATGATGTTCATGCATCACGGAGGTACTTCTGTGCAACGTTAGGAAAAGGCAGGTCTTTCCTATCCCTTACATCAGCCTTCTTGCTAAGACACGGAGTCTGCAGCCCGCGTTGTCGAACCACTGCAGAACAGACTGCAGGCCTATAATTACCGTTTCTGACTTGTCACTGGTAAATCTCCCAGCACAAAGAATCAAGCCCAGCCAGTTCAGTGATACGCCCTCAAAAAATGCTCCCCAGGCACACAGCAGTGCGGCCGGCGCTGAGAACTTCCTCCAGCCAAACACTTGCTTTCAGGGATAAGCACTCCGTATCTAGAAAGCCATACACCTGGGATCAGAGTGTGCTCAGAGCCGCGTTCCCAGCCCCAGATAACTGGAATTCAAGGTAATACCTAGATTGCTGGAAGGCTGGAGGAGCTCGGTTGTAAATCAATTTGCTGGAGCTGCCGTATCAGCCGCTTAGCTCAGGGCTCTGCTTGCACAAGGAGAGAAAGCAGAAAGCAGATGGCAGCACACAGCAAGGCTTGGGCTGCGCTGGCGCTCCTCCAGCGCTGAGAATAGGGAAGAGCTGCACTTCCTTGGGGAAAGCAGAGCAATAAGGAAACACTGGCGAATTCCCCCTTGTTCTGGCACAAAAGCCATTTCCTCCAACAATTCGTTTCTTGCTGTGTCACAGTGACAGGATCGAACAGACTTTGTGAGATAACAGTGTTTCCTCACTCCCTCGGTCCCGCTGCCGCATGGAAGCGTTCAGCTCCCACTGTGCTCCCACAGCCCCATTGGTGCCACCTGGCAGCCCCAGCGCACAGAGCACCCCGAAGAGCTTCACCCTGCTGCTGCTCCACCACTGAACAGTGTTATCTGTCTCTTAGGCCTCACCATAGTATCTGAGTATACCTCCCAGCCCAATAGACTGCTTTAGGGAGGTCCCTGCTTGACCCCATGGAGTCCTCTGCTCTGCTCCCTGCTCAGGTATTGGGCAGCACCACCCAGGGTAGGTCCTTTATGTTTTCTCCGCCCAGAGCGAGGTTTGGGGAAAGGCTGCAGCCATCTTTAGTGCCAGGGTGACTGTGGTGGAAAGGCTTTGGCTGGATGGCGGATCTCTGGATGGTGGATCTCTGGTGGCTGCTCGCTTTGCAGGTTGGTTACCTTCATCTTCATCGTGCGGCTTCGAACAGGCAGCTCTAGCAGCGGTTTTCCAGCCTCTGGAGGCACTGCAAGCCGTGAGCTTGCTCTTCAGTCCTCTTGTGGGGTTAAAGATAGGCCTGGTGATGGGTATCTTCGCACTCTTTAAAGCTAAAGCTGTGGTTGTCCTTCTCTTGCAGAGTCTCCCAGGGCTCTATTCATCTCCTCGAGCTCCGTCATGTCGTGCTTCACCCAGCTGTGGCACTCCAGCACACCGGACTCTCCCACCAGCCCGGTCCCTGCATCTCCACATGAAATCCCCATTCCCATCAGCCCTATCGTTATCACCTCTCCGGTGGACAGCAAGAGGAAAGCAAGGTCCCCAACTGACAAACCAGGCTCTCCAAACCCAACATCCCCAAAGCCGGCCTCCCCCGTTGAATGCTCCATCTGCTTCAACACGTACGACAACACCTTTAAGACCCCCAAGCTGCTCCAATGCTCGCATGTTTTCTGCCTGGAGTGTGTGGCCCGTCTGAGCAAAGGGCTGCCCCCCAACCACCCCGAGGACCAGCTCCCCTGCCCCTTCTGCAGGCAGCTGACCAGCATCCCGCTGGAAGGTGCCCCAGCCCTGGAGACCAGCAAGGAGCTGCTGGCCACTCTGCCCCCCGAGCTCCAGCAGGAGAAGGTGCTCTGGATGGAAGGCACCAAGCTGTGCTGCCGGCAGGCCTCTGACGACCCCGAGAACCCAGACTCGTGCATCTCCATCGACGTTGCCATGAGCAAACCCGAAAGCCCAGAGGTCCCCCCGACGGGGCTGGCAGGGAGGCTGTCCCGCTGTGACGTGTGCGACGACTGGAAGCGCATCGTCCTGCTCTCTGCTCTCATCATCATCCTCTTCTGCATCATCCTATGGCCGGTGCAGTGCGCGCTGAAGACGGGGAACCTCCGCTGCTTCACCAGGACTGTTGCAATGAGCAGGCCAGAATATCTCCCCTCAAAACACACCACAGCAGCCACGCCTGTGACACAGCTCCCATTCCTGTAGCACCAGGCATAACGTGGCACACCCCCCAAGAGCATCCCTCGGTGTGCTTGCAGACCCCACGGTCCCCGCTCCCGTTCTGTGCCCACACCTGGACGCACGCACTCACCTCCAGCAGCCCAGGAATGCTCCCAGGAGCTGCCTCAGTTTCCTGCTGCCAAACTCCATGGAAACCTGAGTCTTCAAAGCTGCTGCAAAGGTGTGACGGGCGACAGATGAGCTTCTGGGACTGTTTGCCCACAGGCTGATACCAGGTGACGGTGGCTGTAGCTCCTTCCAGCTCCTTTGGGGAATAAAGGGCTAGCTTCGTGGCTACTCCTAAGAGGAGCTGAGCTTAGGAAGGTAAGGACATGTTGAAGCTGCAGAAGCCGATGAAAATTAACCTTATTCCACATGCTCAAAACGTTTCCGTTGTGGATTCAGCACAGGAGGTGTGAAATTCTGCCTCCTGCTGACAACACATCGATCCACCCCTGCTCCTCAGCTGAGCCGAGCGCTGCTGAATTTCCAACGGAAAATAAAAGCCACCCTATTGCCGTTTTGTTTTTCTCTCTAAGAAGGTGCTTAAAAAAGAGTAAGCACTCATCCTTAACCTGGAAAGGAGAGCAAACTCGCCCTGAGCACGGCATCACACTGTCCTCCGTGAGCTTCCTTCCCTCTGCTCCCAGGCCAACTGTTACTCAAGTGGCAGAAGTTCCACTTTCTGACAGCTCTACCCTCCTCATCTTCCAAGGTGTCAGTATTAAGACACAGGCCAGTTGCTTACACTCTCTTTTTATTTAACCCAGTGATCTTCTGACAGTGGTTAATAAGGGTCTTCGTGAAGAAGGCGGCTTACAATTAAATCTTGTTTATTCAAGCACATGGATGTGAGACAGGATTGTACACAAGTACCATGGATGTATTAAATTATGTTTTATACAATGCACGGTGTCAGTGTGTAACATTTACTCCCTGTTTCCCCCCTTAAAGGATGCAGCAGCAGCACAGCTGTACTCTTTATCCACTGCCTTCATACTTACTGCCATCCCAGTGATGCCGTCCCAAGCACAGCCACCCCTGAAAAAGGAGAAGCTGCAAAGACTGCTCATCTTTTGCTTCTTCCCAGCTGGGTCAAAGATGTTTTCAGTCTCCCTTTGCAGCAAATCTGATCTGAAATACAAAAGGCTGAAGCAACAGCAGAAGTACCCCAAGTCCGTTGCTATGCAAAACTTCTGTGAAGCTTCTGAGTGCGTTCTGTATCTGCACCACCTTTGTTGTCGAGCTGCAGGCTGCTATTATCTGTGCCAGCCACACGGCTGCAGAAATTAGTCCAGAAACTGCAACAGCTTCTGCCAAAGGCCCTGGGCTCGACAGGGATTCTCCCTTGCATCATCCCATCGCTTGCTGCTGTGAAGGATATCTTCACAGCACCAGCTTAAGTGCGTTCTTGGAAAAAGTGGCTCACTGAGACTTAGGGCAGAGAAGGCACTTTCATCCTAAAAGGTGCATTTGAGATTAAGCCCAGCAAACTGGCACTAGCAGGGATGAAGTGTTCTGTCACGTGCAACTACATGACTGCTCAATCCCACTGATGAGACCTAAGGGCAGGGGGGGAGGGAAACAGCATCTTCAGCCTCATCACACCCATTGTTATGGCTGCTAAACAGCGAGCACAGAGATCTCACAGCTCACAGATGCTCAGGAGGCCCCTTGTCCACACTTTCACTTTCCCAAACCACTTAAAAAGAGAGGGGGGAAAAGAATAAGAAAAGCTTTGAGAATATTCAACGTTTATTAAAAGTGCAATAAAAATAAAACAGTTTTCCTGTCCTGTGAGAAGGGACCAGGAAGACCAGTCAGGAAATACAGCCAAGGGATGCCATCGTGCTTTCATTCAGCCCCTCCTGCTCATTGCTGGCTCTTGGGCACCAAGGTCCCTGACCAGGCAGAGGGGCAGCGACCCAGGAGCACATCAGCACCCTGCATGCTCCAGAAGTCAACACTGGCACTCTGACCCCAATGAATCCTGCAAAAAGGGGGGGTTCTATTTGCAGACCGAAGGGCTGGAACAGCAGGAAGCCCCAAACAGTCACAAGTCAAGATTCGTCAACAGAGCTGGAACACTCCACTCAGTAACACACTCATCTTCGTGGCACTGGTCAAATCCTAAGTGCTCCTACAGCACCCAATGCAGCACACACAGCACTTGTCATATAGTTGTGGGGGGAAGGAGAGGTCATACAGCAAGGAAACAGCAGAGCTGCATCAAGCTTAGAGGGACCCAGCTCTACAAGTTCAGCTCAGCCCAGCATCCTAGGGTGTGTTACTCACCCAGGGGGGCTGAAAGCACAGTGCACAGTCAAAGCTGCTTTCCTGCTCGTCAGCACACTCCAGCTAGATGGGCTTTCAGGGCTCAATACTCACACCAAAGTGAGGGCGCTCACCTCTGCCTCCCAGCCCTGCCATGACGCTCACACGCAGCTCCAAGCACACGCACGCACACACACCTCACCTGTTGTACAGCAGGGTTGCATAGAAAGCTATAACTGCAACAGCCAGAAGTGTGAGGAGAAGAATCAACAGAGGCACAGATACCTGGGTTCCAGGCAGTGCTACTTCCCACCTTCAAGGCAGCAAAGTTAGCCTGGAAATTAGCCTAGAAGCAAACACTTCTAGCTCGGAAATGATTGACCTAACAAATAGACTGAAGTGCACTAATACTTGACTAATGCCCTCCGTGGGCAACCCTGGGAAAGCTCCTAAGCAAATAGGCATTTCCATTCTTAACCATTTACATGTAAAAAATAACAATCTTAAATTAAAAAAGAAAACACAAACACCAACAACAATTAAAACAGCTTCGATGCCCAACGAATGTCCAGAGGCACTTCCACATAAATATCAACCTACTGATACAGGGGAGAGCAGGAGAAGGTCCTTCTCAAGAATAAGTTAGCTCCAGGCGTGTTCTTAAGGCTCTGCTTGCTTCTTAGCTCCTCGCTGAATCCAAGGTGCTCGGGGAAGGCAAAATGGGCAAAAAAGCACTGTCTGCAGTTGCAGCATGTGAAAAGGGTGGACGTAAACACTGTAAGTCCTGCAGTCCTAAGCAAGAGGGACAAAAGGGCACGGCTTACGACTGGGAGAAAAGTGCACTGATGGGACACAGAGCTGAGCTACTCCCAGCATCCAAAATCTCTCCTGGTTTATGTAGTTTCTCCCCTACAGCACCGGGCGCACTTTAAAACAAGCATGATCCCATTACCACAGTTCTCCCCGTTCTGCCACACAGCCACATCTTTAGGCTCTGTCCCGTTTCATTACAGCCTATTTGGCTTCCCTGATGCAAGCAGAGCCGTGGAGATCTGCATGCACTGAAGCACGCAGGATAAATGCAACGTAAACAGACAGTGGTGACACTCAGCCTAACCGAAGGAAGCATTCCTACCTGCACAGCCTCACCTCCAGCTCCTCTATCGCCCCGTGTTACTCATCCCTGAAACCTTTGGGCTTTTGATGTTGAGGTTCTCATAGACGGAAGCTGACTCATCATCAGCCCTGTCAAGAAACAAAGCCTTGTTGTGAACAGCCTCGCTGCTCTGGATGTGCTCCCAGAGGCAGCTGGCCGGTCGGAAGCAGGCAGTGGCCTGGCCAAGTTTCCTTTACCCTTCCCCATAGCCTGTAGGGCTCGAGATACTGCAGACCAGGATCTATTTGCCCTTCCCACAAGAGGAAGGTGGGCTGCCGTCACAGTGCTGGCAGCGTGGTGGGATCACCTGCTTATTTTGAGCCATTCCCATCCAACAGCCAGGAACTGGTGAGGTTTGAGGAATGGGGGAGGAAGGATAAGTGCTGGGGACCAGGCTCCAGCCGTCCTCCTGCTGCTACAGAAAGTCCTGTTCCCAGCAGACAGACTCACACAGGCTGGGCTCGTGGTGAAGGGGGCTGCCCTTTGGCTCTGCCTTTTTCCACAGGAGGGTATCCAATATTCAAGTAGTCTCGCTCTTTCCTTTTACTTCTCTGAAATAGGAAGCAAATACATTAAAACCCCACTCAGGGCTGACGCAGAAGGAAGCCTTGCAGGACCCCGTACGCCAGCAGGGAGCGGTGGCTGTGGGTTCATTCCCATATGTTCAGGGCAGCATTTGGGTTCCAGAATAAAGGAAGTGGTTGCGGCGCCTGGTGTGGGGCAAGATGCGCCCTTGCTCCTCCAACCAAGCTGAACAGGACTCACCTGCTCCTCCTCCAGCCTCTTCTGCTCCGCTTCAATGAACTGCTGGACAGCCATGTAAACGAATTTGTACTGGGCCTCTGTCTGCACCATGCCAGAGCGCTGCCTGCGTACCATCTGGATCGTTTTGGGGATGTCAATGTCGCAGTCCAAACCTGCTCGAAAGCCAGAAAGTGGGAAGTGGCAATGAGGTTGAGAAATTATTCTTGCTTATCACTCCTTCTGCGGCTTGAGAAATAAACACAATCACTGCTGAAAAGGGTCCGCCTGCCTAAATGCTCCCACTAAGAGAACTGAGGGTCCAGACATGCTACAAAAGTCACTCTAACCCCAGGTTTAGGATCAAGCCTGAACCCAAAATGAGACGAACCCACTGCTGGGAGATCATGGACCACTGCTTGCACCTGAGCAGGCTTATCTCATAACAAGGCAAACAGTGAGAGTCACAAGACTGACATGGAGACATACCTTGCCTGTGAATAATATCCACCAGAATGTCTATCACTATGATGGTGCCTGTGCGTCCTATTCCAGCACTGGAGAAAGAGAAGGAAGGCTATATTTCCCTATGTGCATACCTGTATCACCTCTGTTTCCCAATTGCCCTCCACCAGACCGTGTGATGAGCCAGTTGTAGGTAACAAAGGGAAGAGACTCCGTTTTTGTTCCCCGTCCCCACGGCAGAGCTGGTTCCTACCTGCAGTGCACTATGATCGGCCCCGTGTCTGGAATGCTTCGCTGCGTGCGGTTCACTTGGTCCAGAAAGCTGAGAACCCCTCCTGGTTCATTGGGCACCCCGTGGTCTGGCCAGCTGAAATACTGGTAGTGCTTCACCACCCTGGGACGCTCATCCTACGTGGAGCAGAGACCCAGCACCCATCAGAAGGAGCACCAGGCTTCCCCTTCGTATATAAAACCATTAAGGTTGGAAAGGACCACTAAGACCAAGTCCAACTGCCAACCCATCACCCGGCGTACCACATCTCCATTCCTTTCCCATCAACAAAACTGGAACAAAACAGCCCAGAACTTCAGCAATGGAACCACGAGGTAAAAAGCAAGAGATGCTCCAGATCCCATTCCCAGGGCTGCAGAGCCACCATCAGCTCACCCTGTCCACGTGCAGGATCTCCAGCTCCCGGAGGTAGTAGCCCTGCGCCTCGCGCTCGCTGACGTTTCGCACGCAGATGCACCCATACTCCTTGGCACAGCCCTTGTCTGGCCAGTAGCGGAAACACTTGTTCTGTAGCAACACAGGAGAGCTGCTGTGAGCCAAGGGAGGGGAGCTGGGGGACGGACCCCAGATGTATCCAGCCAGGGATGCTCCGGGGTCAAAGGATGAGCAGCAATAGTGCAAAAAATTTAAGGAGAACCACACATGCAGAGCGTTTCCTTGAGCTGGGGCTTGGATAGGTTCTGCAATTACTTTCCTGCTTCCCAGCAGCTTGCAACCTCCTGCTCTGCTTCCCAGCTTGCTGCAAGAAGCCCCTGCCATCGTGGGCAAGGACCTGCAGTTGTCCAAGCAGGATAACACAGTTAGGTTGGTTGCCCAGATTAATTCATCACTGATTCCACGTCACATTTTAACACAAGCCCCTACCGACTACCCAGCCTTTCACTTCTGAAGGCTTTAAAACCGGTTTGCATCCAGCCTCCCAGGTTGGCACGGGATGCAGGCGACACTGGGGCTTGGCAGCAGCTCTCA